GATCACTACACATCTGAGATGTGTAGCAAGACCCTGTACCAAATACATATACTCTAAAATCAATACAACTAAAATTCATTTTACATTCATGGTCACTCTGAGCTGGCAGGGCTTCTCACAAGTGACTTGTGACTAACATGTCACTTAACCTCCCTGTTGTTGGTTGCTTAAAGTGAAGCCTGTGATCCCAGCACTCAGTCGGCTGAGACAGGAGGATAGCTACAAATTCAAGGCCAACCTGAACTACCTAGTGAGATCCTGTCTCTAACACATTTTTCTCCTGTTCTATGGCAATCGAAGCCACACCACTTATTGCCCCAGGTCCCTGCAGATTCATAACCCCCTCTGCCCCTAACTCCCCAATTCTGTATCTAAGCTGATCCCCCTTGCTCCTGATTTCTGGATCTTCCCATAGGTTATATTACCAGATGGCAACGATTTGTACTACTGGGTCTCCCCATCCGATAGTCAGTTCCTCAGAGCAGCAAAAATATCTTATTCCTGTCTGAATCAAGGCCTAGCAAAGTTTCCTGGCATTAGCTTAACAGGCATTGGCTAAATATGTAAATTCATAGCAAAAATACACTGAGTGAAGAGGAGCTGGGCAAATTATGGGGGGACTAAATTATGATGCCACGCGGCACGGAATCACTACACTTACTAAGCCTATTCAGGCATCCTGAGGAATTTTAATTAATGGTAGCACATGCAAGGATGAGTTAGTTCTCCTTTAATCAAAACCACTCTATCTAAAATCACCCTCTGCTGCTCTCATTTTTCCTTTCCCTTTATCTCCACGGTAAGAATAACCACATTTTATGGTTTTTAATCTTTATTTATTTATTTATTTATTTACCTATTTATCTGGTACAGGGTCTCACTATGTAGCTCACACTTGTAGTGATCCACCTGTCTCGCAGCCTCCCCAGCTCACACACCAGGCAGGCACACACCACCACGCCTGGTTTCCGTAGCCTGCACAACATGCAGTACCGGGGATCAAACCCAGGTCTTTGTGCTTGCCAGGCAGGCACTGAGACCACCGAGTTATCTCCCTAGTCAAGAATAACCACACTTTATGACAGTTTCTTCTTGGTTTTTCCACTAGCACCTCCTGATAGTAGGGCTTTTGTCTGTCTTGCTCCCGGCACAGCTCCTGACACACAGCAGGTGTTTGTGTGAAGTTTGTTCAGGAAAGAGGTGAGGCCGGCAAGCATGGGACAATCTGTCATAGAGAATCTTGGCCGCCTGTCAGCTATGTGCATTAAATTTCCAAGAGATTAAAGAAAACCAGGATGTGAGCCTTTGAGGGATCCAGTCTAAGAGGTCCATAAAGACCTTTTTCCCTCCTTTCCAAGCCAAATGATAATTGAAGCAAAGGAAATGGTATTTAAAGAATCAAAAATTTACCTTTATTAACCATCAAACTAAAGTTGCAGAATTTAGCAAATGACCCTAAGGTACTAAACCTCAAAATTATCTAAGTCAATCACTAATCTCTAACAAGTCTCTGCTTAGGGGAGAGGGAACTTCACTTTAAAAGTGAGGTAGCTCGGTGGTGGAGTGCTTGCCTAGCATGTCCAGGGCTCTGGGTTCAATTCTCAGTACAAAAAAGAAAAAGAGAGAAGAAAGGATGAAAGAAAAACAAAGAAAAGAAAGACAGAAAGAAAGAAAATGGCAAAGGACAGCGGTAGGGAGTGCTGTGTTCTGCCTCACAGCGAAGACAGAGGGCTTGGGACTCAGGGACCCAGCGGGAGCGCCACCCTTCAACCACACTGTCCCTTCAGAGGCCACGCACCACCTCCCACAGAGCAAGGCCACAGAGCGAGGAAGCTGACCCTTTTGTCACCAAGCAAGCCTAGCTTCACATGTTCACTATAAAGACTGTGAAGTTGGCCACACCTCTAAGTCCCCTGGGTGAGTGCTCACGATGACAGACTCACTCTCAAATCAAGGTGACCGGATACACCGGCAGGCAAACTCATTTAGCTACTTTCCATCAGTTTAGGGAGCGACAATACTACTGACCTATAATACAACTGAGGGTGGAAACACAGCTTTTCCTGCTGGAGTCCTGGGTGCACGGCTGGGCCGCAGCCTCCCAGCCAGATCGGCCCCAGTTTGACCCAAACTTCTCCCAGCCACTGAGCTCTGGGTGAATGTAAGAACCTTGCCTCTCTCAGCAAGCCCTGAAAGTCAGCCCTGCCTAAAATATTCAAGAGCCCCTGGGTTGAAACTGTCCCTCCCCTGGAAGGTGCACGTCCTGGGGCTCCTCAGGAATGGCATTCTCTCACTGGCAAAGCAAAATAAAAGAAGGCAGATGAACAGCAAGAGAAAGGCCCCAGTAGCGTCGTCCTTCGGGGGTTCTTCTTCAAAATGCCAACAGGGGAGATGTTGGAAAACACGTTCCACAGGCCTCCCCAGCTACAGGGCACACAATTTGTGGGAAAAGGTGAAAGAGAATGATATCACTTCAACAAAACAGAGAGGAAAAACCCAAAGCTTAGACATGTGGCACCTCCACCTTTTCAGGTATCTCTGTCTTTTGAACTCAAAAGAGAAAAATGTAATGGATGAAGGGAGGCTCAAAACCGCTAAGTGATTTTATTTTTCTGTTTTGCTTTTCCCTTGTGTAGAGCAAACTCTTGTGTTATATCCCAGCCTAGAATAAATCTTCTAGGCTGAATGATAAATCAGGGATTGTAGTGGAAATCACTACTGACCTTTCAAAGGACACTGTCTTTATATTTTCACACTGGGCTATTTGAAATTTCAACTCAGAACCAGGAAAATAATATGCGGCCGATTTCTCTCCGTGCCTCTTATCACAGAGCTTGAAATCGACCTGGAAAGTCTCAGAATGCATTTTCTCCTTCCTATTTCCATACCATCATAAATGGTGATTAATGATTCACTCTCGGAAGCAGCATTGCTAGACTCGTAATTACTGCGCGAGCTGTGTCCCAACAGCCAGTTTATCCTACCCGGCCCCTCAGAAGTGGGCGTGCTTTAATTTCCATGCGGTGAAAGCTTGCGGTTCTGCGTTAAGAGCCTGTCCAGGATGGAAGTATCATTTCCTTGTGTTATTGTTTATCTCCTTCACGCTCTTCTTTTCAATTAACCTGGCCCTTTATAGCTGCAGGTTCCACATCAAAATATTCCAAAAAATAAGTTGTGTCTGTACCGAAAGTGTACAGATTATATTCTGGCCGTTGTTCCCTAAACAATACAGCAATGCAAGTATTTATAAGCATGGGTCAGTCCACAGAGAAAGCACAGCACAGTGCCTGGCATGTGGGTTTTGTAAGTAATCTACAGATGATTAAAGTATACAGGAGGCTGTGCATGTGTTACCTGAAAGCTTATGTCATGTTAAGAATCTTGAGCATCCAGGGATTTTGTGTCATGGAGGTCATGGAAACAATCCTCTGTAAAAAAATGAACACAGTCCTCCTCTTTTATTTCTCCTCCCTTTTCTTAATATTCCAGGGTTCTCTAGTTCGTTGCTGGTTTGTCCTTAAGGTCCTGTGGTAGCCACTCCGCAGAATCAGGAGGGACCTTTCTCAAAATTTACTCCAAATGTCAAGACAAATAATAGCACACATTCACCATTAATTTACCCTATTAAATTAATAAGTTTGACCTAAAACTGCTTCCATACCTCATGATAAAATTTGGCCCAAAGCGGCCTCTGTATAGTGAACTGCAACCCAGCTTGCTATGCAGGCAAGTTATCACCTAATAGTAACTCACTGTAACTTAGCAACTGAGTCTCGACCAATCACAACAGTTAAGCTGCAGCCAATCACTGACGACCAACTGGTCAGACCATGTTCATATAAGGCAATTGCTGGCCAACTGTTTCTGTAAGCTGCTTCCTGTGCTCTACTGGTAGCCTGCAGTGTGGGTGGGATGGCACATTCTGAACCAACAGGTCTGAAATGCTGCCTACATCCAGAGACTTTGTCTTGGTCAAGTAAATTTCATTAAGCTTAACTCATCAAAAATTTTTCATGCCAAAAGGACATGAAAACGCTTGTTACTTGCATAATTGAAGCTAAAAACCAGAGCACACCTCTCTAGCAGAACTAAAACAACTTCAAAACACACACACAAAGAAACTGGTTTGGGTTAGTTAGGAACTGAAATAGGGGTGAGACTTTCCCACAATCTGGAGAGGGGGCATCAGAGAAGAAAACTCATGCCATACTGGAAGCACTTGATCATTCCTAAGATATGACTGGAACAGAGCAAAAAAATCCCTTTGCCCAGGGATGCCACAGAGTCATTCACACATACACAATTCAAAAATTCAAAAAATCAAAGATTCCCATAAAATGTAGAACAATAGTGAAGAACAAACATGTTTGATGAACCAGGATTCAAGCCCCTCTTTTACCACTTCAGTGATTTTTGCGAAAGTGCTCCTTTCCCAGCCCCAAATTCTGCCTCTGTAAATAATATCTATTCCACTTTCTCAGTCCTAAAATGCATTTTCCCCCTCACATATTAAGAGTCTTTGAAATCCAGGGATAATTCAAGAACTTACAAGCATAAGACAGCTCTTTAATGGCACATGAAACAATAGTATTTACTACGTGGCCTCTTAGATATGTGCAATTGGCTACAGTAAAGGAAGAGAAAATGTGAAACACATTACTCCTTATAAGCTCTACATGAAGGTGTCATATACCCCATTGGACCTCAGTTTTGTTTTGTTTTCTTTTCTTTTTTATGTATTTAGTACAGGATCTCACTACATAAATTGGACTCATAGTGATCCTCTCGTTTTCAGCCTCCCGAGCACTGGGATTACAGGCGGGCCACCACCATGCCCAGTCGCAATTGCCATCTCAGCACAACCCAGAGGAGGGGCCGGCACGGCACATTGGGGATCCAACCCCAGTCTGGACCTCAGTTTTCTTATCTGCAAAATGGGGTTACCAGTACTAACCGTTTGAAGTTGTGAGGGTAAAGGTGAATTAAGATGTGTCGAGATGCGCCACGGCTTCGGTAGCTAAAGCATCTCTGAGCCTGCCGGAGTGGTGCCACCACCTCCTCTAGGAGACCGTTGCAGTCAGCCAGCTCCTGCTCCACGGTAACCATGTGCGACCGAAAGGCGGTGATCAAAAATGCGGACATGTCAGAAGAGATGCAACAGGATTCGGTGGAGTGCGCTACTCAGGCGCTGGAGAAATATAACATAGAAAAGGACATTGCGGCCCACATCAAGAAGGAGTTTGACAAGAAGTACAACCCCACCTGGCACTGCATAGTGGGGAGGAACTTCGGTAGTTACGTGACGCATGAAACCAAACACTTCATCTACTTCTACCTGGGCCAGGTGGCCATTCTTCTGTTCAAATCTGGTTAAAAGCATGGACTGTGCCACACATCCAGTGATCCATCCAAAACCAAGGACTGCAGCCTAAATTCCAAATACAGAGACTGAAAATCTTCAGCCTTGCTAAGGGAACACCTCGATCTTTTTGTGTGTACAGGGTATTCTCTGTACTAGTTTGTTGTGGTTATAAAACATTTAGCAAAACAGCCTACATTTGTATTTATTTTCTGTTCCATACTTCTGTGCCTCATGTGTTTTCTTTTAATCCATTCCTTTAAAAAATAAATCTGTTGGCAATGGAAAAAAAAAAAAAAATGTGTCAAATGTTCAGAACATTGACTGCTGCAAGTAGGAGGCCTTAGTCTAAACGATAGCCAAGAAGACCTGCTCTAATTCACGTGAAGTTGAGTTGGTCACCGATGTATTCCCCAAATGTGGTGGTTTGGTTTGTGCCAGTTGAGGTTCGGAGTCACACTGCCACTTCCTCACTCTGAGGAATCTCCCCAGACTCCTTGAGCCTCCTCATCTCCATTTCTGAGATGGGAAGAAAATGTAGAATAATAAATGAGTCAGACCTGGGAGGCCGCAGGGTACAGTGGCCGGCACACGGGAACCCTGGGCAAACGCTGGTCACTCTTAGTGAGCAGTTCTGCTTTGCAGAAGCATCTGGTCCAGCTGCAGACACCCCTCGCAAGGTCAGGGGCAGCCCCTCCTCTCACACTGCCCTTGTGAAGTCATACATCCACCAGAACATATGTGGAGCCTAACAAGGCCAGGGCTGCTGTCTGCTGGGGGACACTGCCTGCTTTGAGAAGCCGTGAAGAGTCTCAGGACAGGGCGTGGGGAAGGGCTTGTGCCACAAGTTGGGCTACATGCGCTGCTTTGGGGAGCGCTCAAGTAAGCGGGGGTCACTGCTGCTTCAGAGCTGGCTGAAAGTGGGGAGATTTAGTGACCACCACCATTTATACAGAGTGAGCAGGAGAAAGGAGTGAGGGCCAGTGTCGTCCCTGAGGAAGCGGCGGCAGTCTCTCCTGTTACCAGAAGAGGGGGGTGTTCAGTCACTTTTGTGGCTGTCCAGTGTCTATTTTTATCTCTGTTCAGGTATAATTACAACGTCCTCTCTGCATCTCACATTCCTGCAAGTCCCGCACTGACATCACTACCTGATTATATTCCTCAAGGGAACAGCGTGACCCAACTGGTGGTAATTACACCACCCACGAGCTATCAGATTTAGGGACGCCAAGCAGCCCAGGGTCTTGGGACTGAGGAGATTTCTGGAACACAGAATTTTAATGCTGTAATGGAGAATCCAGACAAACAAGCTGGGGCTGGGGGGGCGGGGGGCTTCCTCCCTCTCAGCCCTCAACCTTTTGAGACCATGTCCTCTGAATTCCTCAACTTACACCCATGCATGACTCACTTGTCTGAGTAAATGGATGTGCTTCAGGGGCAGACAATCCCTGCCTTATCATTTGCCAACCTTGGTGAAATCAGGTAAGGCCTGGATTCATCCAGGTATAAATTCTTTAAGGGCTCTCCCAGGAAAAGCCTCCGGGACTTTCACTCATGATTCATATCATTTGGAAGCTGCTTTTCAAGAATGGGCCTGAGCAGACACCGCCTTACCCCATCACCCCCATCACCCCGTCACCTCCGTTACCCTCATCACCCCATCACCTCGTCACCAGCACAAGCTCAGAATCCCCCAGGTAGATCAGAGAATCCCCATCCCCAAGAGCAACATGTGTCCTCCTTCTTGTCATTCAACCAGCAGGCAGGCTTTCTCTTTCCTCTAAAGTGCCCTGCTTCCAACCACCTGAGAACCCAGATCTGTGCTCAGAGCTCCTGGTTCCCTTGCCCACTGGCTGTGCAATAAATCCATTTCCTTTTTGCAAAAGCACAGTGCTATAGCATTGGCTTGGTTTGCCTCAGGCAGCAAGCCTTGCTCAGGAACGCTGGCTTCCTCTCTCTCTGTAAATTGGTGCTTTCTTCATACAAAGGTTCAGTGCAATTGTGGTATCCTTGGCAACGTGGCATCCTTGGTCCAGTGGTGTGACTCCTCTCTTCTGCCCTAACCACTACCTCTACCCCTTTCTTTATCAGAGTTGTGTCGTCCTGCACAAGGGCCTTAGGCTCACAATGACAGCTCTGCACCTTAGTTTTATACCTCTGGGTACAGCTCCAAGTTCCTAAAAATACTTAACATTTTATGTGAATAGTGTCACCACTACTTCTTTTTCTTCTCTTCCATGTTTCTACTTATTTCCTACACTTCTTTATCCCCTTTTTCCTGCACAAAGCACCAGCCCAAGAGCAGTGACAGTTGTAACAAAGTTTGCGTTTCTAAAACACTTTGTGGCTTATAAAATGCTTTTTCACCAAAATGAAAAGGAAAAAGAGAAAGACTGTGTCATACACGTGTCCCAACTCCTTGTTCACTAATCACGTATTAAGAGAAATTGCCAACTGAAAGAAAGAAAGAAGAAAGAAAGAACGAACCTGGGAAGCTAAAAGACAATGAAGTAATCATGCAGAATGATGGAAACTCATTTCCAAATTACTACATTTAGCTACAATCTCAATCAACCATATGAGTAGAATAAAATCATATTCAGACCAAAAAAAAAAAAAAAAAAACAGGAGGGGGAGAAAGGAAGGAGTGGCTGAAAAGCCACGCTTTTCTCCTGTTCACAAATTAGCAAGGTGGGCATAGAAAATATGTACATCTGGTTCAAGATCACAAGGTTAGCAAAGAAATAAAACCCACCCTCTGTGTCAGCTTTGTTCTGAAAGAACTTCCCGCGATCTCTCAAAACTAGAGGCCAGTGGATTCCCATTCCTCGCATAGCAAGGGCCCTGGAGGAGACCTCCAGACCAGATGTGGCTACCCAGACAGGAAGCTGCTGCTTGTAATTTCCTGTGCTGTCCCCCAGGGTCTGCAGTTTAATTTTACTTTAAACCCAGCATGGTTCTTGCCAGACCAATAAAACAGCCCCATCTGAGATGGGGCCACTGAAACCAGATCCAGAGCTTTCTGCTCACTTCTCTGGCTATCAATTCAGTTTACACCCTGGCAGCTGGGCTCCTTTGGAACAGGACAGTTTCAACTGCCCTCCACTTGCCATGCCCCACCCCAAGAAGGCATCCCAAACGGCTTTAATTTGTCATCCTTTAGAGTCTTTGAAGCGTCACAGCCTAAGCAGAAATTACAAATAGGGTTTTGATGTTTAAATCAGACTGGTACCAAAATATTTCCCTGTCTGGAGTTCTTCCATGCAGAAAGCATTTGGAGCATGCACATGCAGGGTGTGGGGCTGGAGGAGGCCCAGGAATGTGAGAGCGACAGCCTGGAGTCCTGCTCGCTGGAGGGCTGTGTGCACAGAATCCTTTCCAGGATAACCAAGGCAGGTGGAGATTGCGGGAGGGCCGAGAAGGGCTATGGCTGGAGGTCAGGAGGGCCAGGTTCAAATGCCATTCCTCTGTGCGTGCCAAGTGCGCAGTCTCTGCTAGGAGCGCCAGTGCCCGTGTAACACTTCTCTTCAGTGGGGTCCTGAGCTAACGGACATAGAAAGTGCTTTAAACTAGAAGTCTCCACACAGGAGTCAGCTCTTAATATTAAAGCGCAAGCTTCCAGTGTTCAGGTTATATTTTTCAGACAGGTTCACTGGGCACCTCAGTTCTCTTTGGTCTTTGTTGATCTTTCGGTTCCTTTGATCGAGCTCTCTCTCTGCCCACACAAGCTCCAAGTCGCCAAAGAATGTCTGCAGTTGTTTCCGAATTCAGTTGTTTGAGCAACGTCCCGCCCTGTGAGATAGTCCAAGGAAGTGATTAGAAAGAGGAGAAAAACACTCGGCTCAAAACGCAGCTTGTGTATTTTGCTTCTCCTTATGAAGAAGCTACATCTTGATTCAGAAGGACGGGGGATGGGAAAGTAAGAGAAGTTGAAAAGTGAAAAGGAAAATTGCAATTCACACACCTAGGAGTGCTTGAAAAGAGCTTACTTATGTGGAGCTAATTGAGAACATGAAAATCAAGGAGCAGCTGTGAATATGCAACATGGAGAAAGGAAATCCTCCAAAGGGCGGGCCGAGGATTTGCACAGCTTTGCTAAGCAAAGATAAATTTGCTTCACTACAATTCAGGTCATAATGATACAGGGGAATGAAACTCCCAACCTGAAAGTTCCCTGGAATGAGTTCATATTCTCGAAAAACAGAAAATGAAGTACTTGCCTGGCAAGTGCAAGGTCCTGAGTTCAATCCCTGGTACTGCGCGCCACCCCCCCAAAAAAAAAGACAGAAAATGAATTTTAGGAACAAAGGGAGGTTAAGAGCAGAATATATTTATGAAGGGAAAGAAAGCTCCTGTCCAAGAAAGGGACAGAAAGGGGGGCCCCAAGTGGGTGGTCCCCAGGGAGCTGTCTCTTCCAGGGACGTCTATAGAATAAAACCATGTGGTGAGGCAGGTCTAAGGTGGTAGAGAACATGGGAACTCATTTAGGTGGGCATAAGGTGGGACAAAACTATGGTCAACCAATGAAATTACAAGCACCATTGCTCAGGTAAAATTGATTAAATCCAGGACCAAATGGGGAAGTGAGTCACGTAGCCTTGTGGGCACAAATATAGAACAGGAGTTTATCCAATAGCCAGTCGGTAACGGTTGGATTAGTGACTCTTCCTGGCTTCCTCAGGGTGATGATCAATCCCAGATACCTGTCTTTAGAGAGGTCGGCATTTGTTCGCACTTTGGTCTCTAGGTCTGGCCCACAGAGGGAACATGCGTCCCCCTTACAGTTGCAAGGTATCTTGTCTTCTGTACTGTCTCCTTGAGGGACCTATCCCCATCTGACTGCCTATATCTCTATCTAATTTAGCTTCCTACAACAATAGTTTTAGTACATTCTCATCTTTGCCTATGGCTTTGTCTAAGCACAGAGAGATTCTTAGAAAATAGGACCCAACTGTCCCTCATGTATCTTATTAACACCTCTCACCCACACAGGCTAATGCATTTTCTGGGAGCTGGTCATATTTCTTATTTATAATCTGCAAAGAACCAAGACTAGGAAAGTCTAAGCAAGTCTTTGTGGTGCACACCTGTAATCCCACTGCTATGAGAGGCTGAGGCAAGAAGATCTCAAGTTTGAGCCCAGCCTGCACAACTTAGTGATTTAGCAATATCCTGTCTCAAAATTTAAAAA